GCCAGCTTAGGCACAATCCCTGGGGAGCGGGCCTAAGCCAGCAGGTGGTCATTCCCCGAGGGGGTCCCAGACTGCAAAAGGGCACAGGCCGGGCTGACAGACCCTCCTGAGTGCATGAATTTTTGTGCACCGGGCCTCTAGTAAATAAAATATTTTTTAAAGTTTTAGGTTTAGCCCTGGTCAGTGTGGCTCAGTTGGTTGGAGGGTTGTCTCATAGACCAAAAGGTGGGGGGTTTGCCCTAGCCAGTTTGCTCAGTGGTTAGAGATCAGCCCGCAGACTGAAGGGTCGAGGATTTGAGTCCCAGTCAAGGGCATGTACCTTGGTTGCAGGCTTGATCCCTGGCCCTAGTCAGGGCATGTGTGGGAGGCAACCAATCGATGTGTCTCTCTGCCATCAATGTTTTTCTCTCTCTCTCTGTCTCTCCCACTCTGTTCCACTCTCTAAAATATCAATGGGGTGAGGATTAACAACAACAAAGGGTGGGGTCCAACTCCCAGTTGGAACATGTAGGGGAGGCAACCAATAGCTGTTTCTCTCTCATCTCTCTTCCTTCCTCTAAAATCAATAATAATAAAAAGAACATGACACATATCTTTTCTTCTTCTTTTTTGAATCATAGAAGACATTTATTGAGAAGGCCAGCCAACCGAGAAGAGAGGGCGCTTACAAGCATTCCACTGGGGGACAGGGTTATACAGGGGAAGGGGCTGGGGTGAGGCTGGAATGGAATGCAGCTATGCACAGCCCTGGAGGTCCCCAGATGTGAGCTATTGTCCTTAATCATCAGGTAATGAGATGATGTTGATGAGATGATGCTTTGACTCCTGGTGGCTCGGTCTGATCATGCTTATTGGTTCTGCTTGCTGGGTTCACAGCTGAGTCACCTCCTCAATTGCTTCCCACAGGCCTTGGAAAGGAAAATTAGGAAAAACTTAAAAGAGCCCTGGCCCTAGTCAGGGCAGGTGTGGGAGGCAACCAAGCGATGTGTCTCTCTGCCATCAATGTTTTTCTCTCTCTCTCTGTCTCTCCCACTCTGTTCCACTCTCTAAAATATCAATGGGGTGAGGATTAACAACAACAAAGGGTGGGGTCCAACTCCCAGTTGGAACATGTAGGGGAGGCAACCAATAGCTGTTTCTCTCTCATCTCTCTTCCTTCCTCTAAAATCAATAATAATAAAAAGAACATGATACATATCTTTTCTTCTTCTTTTTTGAATCATAGAAGACATTTATTGAGAAGGCCAGCCAACCGAGAAGAGAGGGCGCTTACAAGCATTCCACTGGGGGACAGGGTTATACAGGGAAAGGGGCTGGGGTGAGGCTGGGAATGGAATGCAGCTATGCACAGCCCTGGAGGTCCCCAGATGTGAGCTATTGTCCTTAATCATCAGGTAATGAGATGATGTTGATGAGATGATGCTTTGACTCCTGGTGGCTCGGTCTGATCATGCTTATTGGTTCTGCTTGCTGGGTTCACAGCTGAGTCACCTCCTCAATTGCTTCCCACAGGCCTTGGAAAGGAAACTTAGGAAAAACTTAACCCCCTATTCACATAAGTGCTAGTGTACGTGTTCTAAGATTTAAAATAATCTGATCATTTTTCAGATTAATGCAGGTGCTCTGTCTATCAGATTATAAGTCCCCCTATCATTTGCACCAGCCCTGCTTTCCAATGGGTTGACCAAGGTTGCAATATTTTGAACAATTCCTGTGCTTGGCTGAATTCATTTAGAAACTATTTACCCTGCTCACTGAGCGACATTCAGGCTCTTCGTGGCTTCTGCCTGGGCTCAGCATGAGACAACAGATTTCCCACAGAATCCACAGTAATCACATGACACATATCTTTTCTTCTTCTTTTTTGAATCATAGAAGACATTTATTGAGAAGGCCAGCCAACCGAGAAGAGAGGGCGCTTACAAGCATTCCACTGGGGGACAGGGTTATACAGGGGAAGGGGCTGGGGTGAGGCTGGAATGGAATGCAGCTATGCACAGCCCTGGAGGTCCCCAGATGTGAGCTATTGTCCTTAATCATCAGGTAATGAGATGATGTTGATGAGATGATGCTTTGACTCCTGGTGGCTCGGTCTGATCATGCTTATTGGTTCTGCTTGCTGGGTTCACAGCTGAGTCACCTCCTCAATTGCTTCCTACAGGCCTTGGAAAGGAAACTTTTAGAAAAACTTAACTTCCTAGCCCAGTGGTCGGCAAACTCATTAGTCAACAGAGCCAAATATCAACAGTACAATGATTGAAATTTCTTTTGCGAGCCAAATATGGTGCTCTGTCTATCAGATTATAAGTCCCCCTATCATTTGCACCAGCCCTGCTTTCCAATGGGTTGACCAAGGTTGCAATATTTTGAACAATTCCTGTGCTTGGCTGAATTCATTTAGAAACTATTTACCCTGCTCACTGAGCGACATTCAGGCTCTTCGTGGCTTCTGCCTGGGCTCAGCATGAGACAACAGATTTCCCACAGAATCCACAGTAATCCCAGCAGAAGGGCTGGCGTTCCTGGAAACAGCTCTAAGTTCCCCATAACCCACTCTTACCTCCCAGAGCTCTTTGTGGGATTTACTCAATACAACAAATGCAGTGTTTACAAGGAAGGTTCTAGAGGAAGCCGGTGTTGACCCCTCTGCCCCAGCCCCATTTCTCCCAGCCTATTCTACGTTAAATGCAGCAGAGAGGCAGCAAAGGAGCAGGGGAAAGGCAGGGAGGGAGGTAGAAGAGCAGAAGTCCCAAAGCAAATTAAGGAAAGCGTCTGCCATCGCCAACAAGCTTCCTTCTGTGTGTCAATGCTGCCACCTTCGGGTGTAAATTATAAATTCATTAGAAAATAGGGCCAGTCAGTCATTCAATAGAGAAGCACAAGGATGAGATCCTGTGAGTTTACATATATATCCCCCAATATTCCTGGGACCCATTCCAACCAGAATCAAATAGGTCTACTTTTCAAGCTCCTACCTTTTAAGATGTACCACTGATCTTTTCAAATATATCACTGAGTGCCTGGGCAATTGGAGAAACTCCTTCAATGTTCTCCCTACATCCACATGGGCAGCCCACCTTCCAACCCATCCCCCCACTCAGCAGCCAGAGTCGCCTATGGTTCGTGACAACGTGGACAAACCTTGAAGGTCTTGTGCGAAGCGAAATAAATCAAAGACAAAGACTTATCACTTATTTGTGGAATAGATACAGACTCACAGATACAGAGAATAGCTTGGGGGTGTTTGCAGCAAAGGACCAGACCAGGACTGCCTAGCCTCACTGGACTAATTCCCTGGCCTTCTCCCCCA